GATTTTCGTTTTAAGATCACTTTCTTCAGAGTTAAATTCCAGCGGAATAAAAAGCAGGCTGAAAGAGTAAACGACAAAGAAGTTCACTCTATTAACTGGAAAAATGTTTTTCGAGCAATTCGAAAGTATCAGGCATGCATGTAATTTTCCTTCGGTATAATTTCATTCTAGGCTTACCTTGATTGGTAGCAATAAAAATCTAAGTGACTTTTGCTCGGCAAAAAACATTTCCCTCGTAAAAATGGTAGGTATACACGGAACAAAGTAAAAAAATATCTTCAACGATATAAGTCAATAAATTACGATCCTGAAAACAGGAGTATTTCTATTGTCTACTTTTAATATTTCAACATATAGGTGAAAGTGTAATAAAAAATACGTTGAAAGATTAATTCAACTAATGTACACTAATAAATAATTCGCTTACAGTGCAGAGACGTACAAGTATAACCAAAAGTAAAGTCTAATGAGAAATAAGTGAAATTTAAATTTAATTCACGTGTAAATTGAACTTGGTTACCGTAAGATATCAAACTTTAGTTCTTATAGTTTAATTAACAGCTTCTCGATTTAGGCATATGTCAGAGTTGTCCGCGAAAGCATCGGGGAGCTTTAACACTAAAACTATCGAGCAGTCAAGTTGATTTTCCTAATTTTTTCTGTAGAAACGTATTAAATACGTATTAAATCAATTTTTTCAATAATTTCTCAAAGGAGCAACTATTATTTTGTCAATGATTGCAAAAGAGGAAATCAGGAATGGGTCATGCCGATCCAACCAGTAGTTCTAGTGTCAATTCACACGATCCCACGTGTTATCATGGAGATTAGCGGATTCAACCCGAACACGGCCGAGACCTGACCAAGACCTAACCTAGACCTGGCCGTGAAAGGATAATACGATCTTCTCGATTCTCGATGTGCCTCGTTTCCAAAGACTTCATAATATCCTTAACCCCGGCATCATTTGCATAGAACTGTGCCGAGCATGACAATGAAGGAAAGACTTTAAAACACCTAAGAATAATCTAGTCCGGTCTTGGACACGAAAGCACAACGATGCACTTAAGGAATTTCAAAGGACGACGTTCTTATCGGAGAATTTGGGACACGTGCCGCCTTATCTTCTTTCAAGCATGGTCATGCAAGTATTTACCATGCTTTTTAATTAACCCCTGATTCGCGTTGATCTCAGAAAATGAAAAAAATCCTCGCTTGAACGTGCTTCAAGCCTAGCCTACGCACTGGAGTACTAACGAAGATCTAATCCATCCTTGATTACGGATAGAAAAATCGAAGTTCTTAAGTATTGATATCGGAGAAACAAAGAATTCCGAGCTCTCTTCACGTCTAATCAGGCGTTGGTCGTAAAAGGATAAGGAAAGCTTCTAGCTTAACGCTAACAGCACCGCGAATTTGTCAAATGATCGGTTTTAAAATTTGATCGAAAATTCCGCGTGTTCTTTCGTTCATTTCGCTTTATATCAATTACTATATTTTTTCTAATTATTTTCTTATATTATAATCAGTTTTTCAATTTTTATCTTTCCTTTTGTTTCCACCTCCGCTAAGAAACATTTATCATCGAACTTGTTTACCTTTATTTTGCAGCCAGTTATTTGACTGGTTACGGTAAGAGTGACTCCACTGCAATCATCGGGAAATGTTTAGTATGTAACCCGGACTCGGCAATCGAAGAAGAAAGACGCTTAATTCTTCCGCAAACGTTGCAGCAATATTTTGAACGGGTCTTAATCTCTCGGAACGGAACGTTCTATTGAGGCGTTCGTTGAGGAGCACGTGCCGCGGAATAACGCATATTGACTTCCATTGTAGCCGCGTGGATCTCTCTATCAGTCAAAGGACGCGCAATAATGACGCGACGAAATTGTGGCTTATTTGCAATAGAAAGAACGCTGCTGGATAGATTGTATTGTAACTATTACCGGTTGTGCACGCGTCCCGATGAACGCGATGTCATACGTTTTGTTGGCGCATGATATTCGTAATTAAGACATTCCAACCGTGTCTGTCTTTTCTCGTTAAATTGAGCGGAATCGTTGCAGCAGCTATTCCGTCTAGCGAATTACATATTGAACACACGGAAGAATATTATGCGCGATCGATAAGAAAGCGCGAATGAAATTTTTCTTTTTTTAATACCATACGATTTTTGTTTGTAAAAAAAAAGAGAAACGAAGTCTATAATGAAGAAATTTTGTTCTGCGTTCCTGAGTCACTTGTTTATGTCAAAATCACACCGATCTCGATTGAATTGCCAGTTATGCGACGGCTAAGTATATTTCAATCGAATCGCAGATAAATTTGCTCACTCAATTGGACGTCGGCATCGATGCAATTTAATTCAAATGAATCAGGACTTCAGCACGCGACCAGTGCCATTAATTCATTTTCATACCTATCCGTAAGTGGCTTTCTTTAATTGGCAGAAGCGTTTTCATTTATTTTTTTCACCGTGTTAATAATCGAGGTGGTTCTCGGTATGCAAAGAGAGAAATAATTAATGGTTTTAATCATTTGATTCACCCTGGGTAACTAATCTTATCGATTATTCATCTAGTTCAATTTATAACATCGTTACGTAATATAATTTATTCCTCTTTTTTGTATTATTACCTTAGAAAAGAACTGCCAAAGTATATATTTCTCTTCTAATTTTGATGCGATATTCAAAAATATTCCTGAAGAAATATTGTTTAGCAGTCCATAGTTGAACACAGAAGAATAAAAAATTCAACATTAAATTTTCTATGAACGCATGAAACTCTGAAATAAAATAGTTCTATCTCACATACAGAATATATACAAGATTCCTTAGTCGTACAAATTCTAATTGATATTTCATCAGAAAATAATGAGTATTTATAATAAAAAATATCTTCGAGCGTAAAGGGTGACGAAAATAATAGGAAAGACCGTGCGAAGAGAAAATCTTTTCCGAGGGAGCGTCACAAAAGGATCGGCGCCCGGAGACTTTTTGCGCAGAACCGATTCCCTATCTGGAAGCCAGTCCCATATCTCGTATCGGCTGGGTTTCTATAATCGTTGTCTTCGAGTGCACATACTTACGTTTTCAAGGTAATAGTAGCAGTCCCACTATCGCGCAACGCATTAGCATCGTCGGCATATAATTTGTGGATAACGATTAAAATGTGCACTAGCGTCAGCTGGCCATTCGAGTGTGTCGGACGGATTTGCATGAAAAACAATGTTGATATAAATTAATTCCGCGAAGGACAGCGGTCCGAAGGAACAGCAAAGGCCGGGCGGGACCCCGATAAAAGGAGAGCCACATGACCGGGGGAACGTGGTTGATTCAGAAGCACGTGAGCGACTCGGAATGACCGGTTGCACGAGCGAATCATGTGACACGCCCGCAATAAGGCGGCTTTTTTCTCATTTTCCCCTCTGGTTCTTATTCCTATCGGCTCTTCTGAATCTCCTTGGAAGTCGCGATGAATATAGCGACGCCGGTCACGAGCCAAGGATTCCAAGATCGAAAAGATCAACGAGCCGGCGTCGCAGGATAATAACGATAATTAGGCAATTAGTCTCGTGGATTCGTGTGTTCGCGGGTTAACTGAGTAAACATCATAATAAAATGAAGTAGAAGCGATCACCTGACGCTGACGCTATGGAAATTCGACGTATCTTCCCACTTGCCAGCGTCGAATGAAGGTTATTGGAAATTGATGCGGTTAGGGAATGGCAGGCGTTCGAACAACAGGGGGTTTCCGAGATGAACAGATCATGAGGCTGACGCGCGAGCTGGTAAAAATTCTATTAGACTTTCCTCGAATCTGAGGAACAACTTTTCCTGATTGCTGAACACCCACGTGATCATAGTTTCCTTTCTAGCAAAGGACGTACGACGAAATGGCGTTGCGACATGTGCATTACAAATCCTTAAATAAAGATTAGATTAGTCATTAGGCCGTGTTAATGATCTGGCACGAAGACGGTGAATGATGTTCGTTTATGATGAACTCTTTTTATAACGTGTATAAACGCATTTTTTAATATTCCATAGGATCCTACTAATCTCACGTTCGTTGTTACCAGATCCTGCAAAAACATTTTTACAATGCACTGCGAGGATATTGAAGTTTACGCCGTCAAAAGAATTTGCTTCTTACTGGAATTGATATTCGATTACGAAACGCAATTGCTCGGACAATAGTATATTGTGCTTGTTAGGTGGATAGCTCGTTTGATCGAGATCTCGAGCGTTTTTTATAGTACCTGCATGCATGACATAACATTGCATAATGACATGGTTTAAGTTCGTCTTAATATCTTCGCGACTATTTTCTCGTTTTCGAAAATATCGCAGAGCGTTGGACGAGGAAGACGAGCGTTACATAATGAGACAAAACCGGCTTATGTTTAATGGAAATTTGAAATAATTTCTAAAATAAACCTTCCGATAAACCTGAACGATGTTCCCGCAGCATTTTTAACTAGAGGAATCTTGTTTGCCGAGATGCGATCGGGCATCTCATGTGACCGATTTACAAAAATTAAAAGTAAACATTGATTGGCTTGTTGTTCTCACGGCTGTTTAACAACTGATGGCATCGTGTGCACGAATCTCGTGACGATTCAATAAAACGCCGAGGAATATTTGCTCCTGAGTCAGTAACGGCGTTAACGGAATGTTTATCGTAAATAAAGATATTGTCAAGATTACGGGACATCATAACGATCTTCACCCTGAAAGAGTACCAGAAAATTATTTGTCTATCGTAATCGTTGTTTCACGTGCATACGTCGTAAATCACATCCTATCTAGAATGAGTCCAACATGTTAGCTTAGCACCCGCAATGAATTTTTGTTCCATAGTGCTTAGCAACATCGTAATAAAGTTTTTGTAATCCCTGTAATTATCGAGTCGAAAGATAGGACGATTACTGAGATAAGAAAATGCCATTTTCATTCATTTCTTGACTTCCTTCGTTTCCAACTACTTTTAATTTTTCATCTGTTCTAGCATAATTTCACTTACTTCGTTTCGGTATTTCAAAAGTACTTTTTCTTACATTTTCTTTTCCTTTTGGAATCTTCGATACGATATATTCTTGTCTTTTCTTCTTCCATTTTTCACTACATGGTATCCGATCTTCTTCATAATTTCATTGCATGAAATTAGGACAATATATTATGCGCTATTCATCGATGACGTCCGTTCTACTGCGTCAGGAATCAAACTGATTCATCTATACGTGCTATTATACACGATCCACAATTTATGTGCACTCAATGAAACTCTGTGCCCTATAAAAACTTTGGTCGGAGCAACCGGTTCGTCGTGTTATAAATGTGTCAATGTTAAAATTAAGTTTTAGTCGATTAATTTTGCGTTGGAACTTACGAAACGATCTTATAACAAAAGGAAGACAGTATCGGACATTGAACGTAAATAAGTTAGTACTGCAAAAAAAGTATTGTTAAAGAAAAGTGTAACGTGAACTGTAAGTGCAGTCGAAACAGAAGTCAATTATGATATATAAAAAAGTACATTATCTGCGTACATGTTTTAATAACATTCTAAGCTCGTTAAAAAGTCTTCAGAAATTTTTTTTTTAAAGTTTAGAGACTTTCACTGTATTTTATTAGTTTTTATATAATGAACAGCGTAAAATTGTATTAAAATGTTAATATTCATTTATTTGTTGTATTGAAAGAACAAGAAGATTGTTGTCCAGTGTTATATTCACTAAAGAATGAGAAAATAGAACAATGTATTAATTAATTTTATTAAAAATGTTACTTCAATGATTCATGTTCATTTAATATTTTTGTATAAAAATCTTACATAATACTTTCTTCTTAGAATGAGCAAAGCGGACGGAAAAGGAGATACAAATGAACACGATAGACCCGGAGGGTATACAAATCGTGGCTTCAACGGATCAGGAGACAGTTTAAATCTTGGCAACTCGAACAACTCCCGAATTCTAACCGATTCCTATGAGAGTCATCAAGGAAGGCAGGGTTCTTCAGATTTTATATGTAAATATTACGAGTCAATTGTATCAATTATTATTGTAATATATCCATAAAGGAGCTCTTTAGTATTATAGAATAAAAGCATTTCATTATTGCATTTGATTTTCAAATGTACCGTATGATTCATCAATACATCAATTGTCGATACAACAAATTGATTTCCGATCATTCTTCATTTTATTATTGTACATTGCACAATCGCAAAGGTATCGATCACGTGTAAAGACACGAGGAATAAGAAATCAATTTTTCAAACTACATTGCCAGCCTGTCGTCCATATTTTCCAATTCATATTTATGTTTGTACAGAGTAGAAGTGAACTTTGATCGGTATAACGTTTTCCCCGTAATGGTCAACAGCAGAATCGTGTTACATGGTCTTTTGAATTAACAAAATGATTTTTTCATTGTATTTAAATGTACTTCGGCAACTAATCCTTTTTAATTATTTGTTAATTTATTATATTCTAATTTATTAGACGGGAGAATGTATGACGTTAAATAAATTTGTTTCTTACAGTAGTGGAAGTACCAGAGGATGAAACGATCGAGAACAAAGACAGCTTACTAAATTCAGTATTGGAAGGCACCAGACGGCGTTTGAGATCGGCCTGCACAAAGAAAACTGTTTATAAAAGATTACCAATTTTACGCTGGTTACCAAAATACAGTGGACAAGATGCACTCGGTGATCTTGTCGCTGGTATCACCGTCGGTCTCACTGTCATCCCTCAATCATTGGCTTACGCCAATGTTGCAGGATTACCGCCTCAGGTTTGTTAATTTATAGCGATTATACTTTAGATCATTTTGTATATAGTATAAACTATTAAATAAACTATTAAACATTTCTGTAAAATATCTTTCGTATGTTTCAATACAATGCACTGTGTACAAAGTCTACAGTCTATTAATGGAACTTAAGTGGTATCTACCTGGATAAAATCTTTAATATATGAAATTATATTTTTCAGTATGGATTATATGGTAGCTTCTTAGGCTGTTTTATTTATATTTTATTTGGATCCTGTAAAGATACACCCTTAGGACCAACCGCCATTACTTCATTACTTACTTATCAAACTATTTCACATCTTGATGCACCAGGCCAGCATGCAATATTACTTTGTTTCTTAGCCGGAATAATAGAGTTAGTAATGGGTATATTTGGTCTTGGTAAGTATATGTAATGATTTTTAATTAATATTTCATTATAACAATTTTGCGTAACTTATTATATTTATTCAGGATTTTTAATTGATTTCGTGTCTGGACCAGTCAGCTCTGGTTTCACGTCTGCAGTAGCTTTAATAATCGTTACCTCGCAAATAAAGGACGTCCTTGGCGTCCCTGCCAAAGGAGCACAGTTTCTAGAAATGTGGAAAAGTCTTGTTGGACAAGTACACCAAACTTCAGCTTGGGATGCTGCACTTGGTGCTGCATGTATAGCTCTTCTTCTACTTCTGAGGGTGAGTATATTACGATAATTTTTGTTAGTTGTTAATTCGTTATTAGCATAATAAGTTGCATTCTGTCCTATCTTATTGTAGCTTCTAGCATCGTATAAAATTGGACCTAAAGATGAAGAATCGCAAACTTCAAAATATCGTATTATAAATAAAGTCATTTGGCTAATTGGTACATCACGAAATGCGTTACTGGTGATACTTTGTGGCCTTTTGGGATATAGTTTTAGTGGAAAATCTCCTTTCAAATTGATTGGTAAGAGAAAATATAGTAGAAATAATTTTTTAAAAGCTGTAGGTGAAAAAGACAAAGATTTTAATTAATGATAAACAAATTTGAATTATAATATGCGTATAATTTATATTTCATTAACAGATCCCATTTTTTATAGGATACATACCAGGTGGTATGCCTACTGTACAGTTACCACCATTTGGGTATACCAAAAGTGATAATACAACTGTGACTTTTGTTGAGATGGTTTCTAATTTGGGAAGTGGCGTTTTAATTTTACCACTCATTTCATTAATGGAGGACATTGCTATTTGCAAAGCATTTTGTAAGCTTACAAGTTTTGTATTTCATAAAAAGATATTGTTTTCAAGCTTTTTGAATTCATAAGAGCAATTTAAAAACATATTGAAAATCATAGAATTGTATTAGAAATCTATAAGTAAATTATAATATTATTTATTTCAGCAACTGGAAAATCAGTTGATGCAACACAAGAACTGATAGCTATTGGAATGTCAAACATTGGCAATTCATTTGTTCAAGCTTTTCCTGGTACAGGATCTCTTAGTAGAAGTGCAGTAAACAATGCTTCTGGAGTTAGAACCCCAATGGGTGGTTTCTATACAGGTAATTTACGATTCTTCATTGCAATTACTAATTTTTTCTTTTATTTTTTTCCTTTTCTAAAAGTAGTTATTTAACATATTCATCATATTTTAGGTGTTTTAGTGATATTAGCTCTTCTGTTCCTGACACCATACTTTAGCTATATACCAAAAGCCTCATTAGCTGCTATTATCATAGCAGCTGTAATATTTATGGTGGAGGTTAAAGTTGTAAAACCAATGTGGAGAACGAAAAGTAAGTTTAAAACATTAATTACAAATAAAACTTAAAAAAAAACGGTATTTTCTTTTTATATTATTTCTTTATTCTTATAGAGTCAGATTTAATCCCAGGAGTAGGAACTTTCATTGCATGTTTATTACTACAACTGGAAATTGGAATTCTATGTGGTATTGGAATAAATATTCTGTTCATTCTTTATCACGCAGCTCGTCCAAAAATATCTGTGGAGAAACTTTCAGTATGTATTTTAAGTGATTCTATTAGATTCGAAAATGTAAGTTTTATTAAAATTAATTTTTTTAATGTCTGTTTTACAGACCAGACATGGCATTCAATATCTCATGCTAACACCAGACCGCTGTTTGATCTTCCCGTCAGTAGACTACGTACGAAACTTAGTAACGAAATACAGTCAGCGTACTGGAGACATTTCTACCCCAGTTGTAATTGACTGCTCACATATTTATGGAGCAGACTTTACTGCAGCTATAGTAATTGAAACACTGACAAAAGATTTTGCGTTAAGAGGTCAACCCCTCTTTTTTTACAACTTGAAGCCTTCTGTTTATGCAGTATTTGAAGGTGTTGCATCAACTGACTTTGTTGTATACTATACTCAAGAGGCACTGGACGATCTCCTAAAAGATAGAGGATACTTAAAACAAATTAAATAGAGTTCATTATTTATACAAGTTGATTTATTTGATATGAACTGAATTACCAGAATACCTTGTATAATGGTAAATATTCACTTTATTGAAAGTTGTTAAACAACGTCTTTCTTAATCACCTTTGATTCTAGAGGTATCCGAAGACAAAGACTTCTACATTCTCAATTTACATAGTCATTGAGTTTCAAAGAAGTAGGTCCAGCGTCATTGTATTTTATATTTAAAATAGCATTACAATCAATGTAATGAATATTCGTGTAATATGTATTATACGCGTCATGTTTTCAATCGATTTTGTTGTAAATTGTCATTAATTGTAGAAAACTGTTTTTCATCAATTAGTATTACTTGTTGGCTATCACTATAACCAACAATAGGATTGCAAAGGTAATAAAATATATTACTGAGTAAGACATTTCAATAAATGCAGTCCTGAATACCATTTTACTCATTTTACATTGTCTTTTGTATATTGTGATTTGTATAAAATAAATTAATGAATTATTTTGAATATAAAAATAACCATTAATTTTGCTACCATTAATAGTCTAATGATTAACGTGTTGAGTGTTGTGTGAGCCACCGATAGCCTATGCTAAATTTTCTGTCTAGACTGTTTTAATATTATTTTTCAGAATGAATCATTATTACAGACAGTTTTGTAATATCAATAAATAAGACATATTTATGTATAGAATAATTTTCATACCATGGACTATCTGTGCCCCAAATTATGTGAATTTGTTGCTGTACTTAAACGTTGAGGTACTATTTCAGAACAAGGATCAGAAGAAAAATTTGAAACTCACAAACATATTGTAAATAGTTTATTATTAAAGCAAATCAGAATGAGATCTTATTCATTTTCTTGCGAACGTAACCTTGCACTAGCATTGGTTACACGAATTGAAAGTTGCTGAGCACGTTCTACAATGGTTTTACGTTTTTTACTGCTTACACCATGAGCAATTTCAGCACAGAATTTTCTATTTTGCATCATTAAAACTTCTAATTCCTGTAAACCCCACAAAAAGTCTTGTTATACTTAAACATAAGAATTATATATTTTAAAATAACATTAATACTCTATAGAAATCTATAATTTTATTATCATTTAGCTATATGAATATTAAATGATGAATAAGAAACTTTAAGAAGAATAAAAAATATATACAGAACATGTGTTTTTAGTAAAATATTTATTTTTAAAGTATTATCTGATAAGGATATAAGTATATCAATATTAATAAATGTTAAATGATCTTACCTTAACATTGTGTACCAAAACTTTTCTGAAACCAGTTGGTAACATATGACGTGTTTTTTTGTTACTTCCATAACCAATATTGGGCATCAAATACTGACCCTTAAAACGCCTACGAACTCTGTTGTCAATACCTTTTGGTTTACGCCAATTTCTCTGTAAAGTTAATTCATTCCATAACTTTGTATGCTCCATATAATTTAAACAGTGAGTAAGAAGTTCAAAAATATGAAATTAACAATCACTGATGAATATTATATAAAATATCATACCTTCAATTTACTGTATCGGTCACTTTGATGACGGATGAACTTTTTAGTTCTCTTCTTAACAATTGTAGGTCTGTATACTGGTCGTATAGCCATTTTGACTTTTGTTGTATGTTACAAAACTGGAACTGAAATCATAAACACAATGTACAATAGTTAATGTTCATTTAGAAAACAAATTGTATGACAACACTGCATAACCATATCGCATGTTCTTTTATTCACAATAACTACAAAATTACAATAATTTAAAAAAATATTATATGCTTCAATCTCTTTTACTCCTTCAAAATAAGATTTTATATATATATTTTGCACTGTCTACGTGATTTTCGTTAAGAACTCGGATTTTCAACAACATAACATACCGTCCCTCGTTACGTACCAGGCTGAAAAGGTTAGGTTAAATCAGAAGTAACAATTCGCCGTACTTTAAAACGAAGATGTCGCCACCTATGGATTAATTCGTATTGTTACTTTTGAGATGGCGATCATATCCCTAGGCTTTAGTTGTAAATTTATCTCTACAAGTTAAATTTAACAAAACTTGAACCTGTTTCAATTCATGATCTTACTTAATATTAATTTCTTAAATTTTTATGATTATACTTTACAAAAAATTAAAAACAATCTAGTTCCACTTTCTATAAGTAGAAAGTTTGTATAATTCAAGATTTTAGCAATTTGGAGTAGGTAACCAATAAGATGCTCGCAATTGATGCACAGAGGAAACCAGAGCAACTGACAGTATGAAAAGTTACCAGATAGAGTCTGCTATATCATTCTGTCAAACGAACGCGTTCCCCGATGTATCCGTGTAATAAGTGAGACGAGTAAATAAGTATGTAAATGTGACGTAAAATGTCTTTACCGGGGGTTTCGATTAAGATATTCGGAAAAATGTAACATATGCAAGGTAAAAGTACCAACGTGTTGAAATTCTTGTACAATTTAACGTTCCTCATAAGTTCTTAAATTCAAAGCATTAACAGTTATTTTCTTCGAAAGAATTGTCTCGCAGAAATTAAGTGTGACATGTTTACTGTCACAAGTTCCGTACAATTAGCATATATTATGAACGATTTTTATTATTAATTATTTATAATGCATTTGAGGAGCTTAAAATTTTAAGAATAAGTATAATTATACTATACATTTTGTAACTGTACATTTATATGCATAGTAGAATCCCTTTTTGTAAACATTTTGAAACAACTGAAATAGACCTAAAAGGATTTATGAATTCATTGTTTAAACTTAAAGTGATATATAATAATACAGTTGTTTAAAAACAGAAACTGTCCATGAATGAAGCAAGATGTGTTAGAATAACCAGAAATTATAGTTACATGTAGACCCAATTTCATTCAACATAATTTCTTCAGTAGCGATAATATTATTTTGTATTTTTCAAAAGTTGTTTTCATTCAACTATACTAATATACTCGCACATTCAAATATACTCGCTGTATTTAGAATTGTGGTGCACATATAAGAAAGTAAAGAATATATGACTCATTACTTTGTTCCTATATAATGTTTTTCATTACACCTGCAAAATGATTTTCTTTTTAACAATTAGTTATAAATTAGTTTAATGTCATTTTAATTTTATTTTCATTTTCAGTACATAAAAAAACACAACTGATTGGTACTATGTTTTAAAAAATGCCATCTGAAGTTAACATTAGCGATGCAGCTTTCAAGAAGGACAATGGGGGAGATGAATCAGAAGAACAAAGTGTTTCATTATTAACTGTTAGTACTACAAATCAAGATTCCACAGCTATAGTAAAACATGTGAAAACCAATGCTACAAAAAGTAATCATACAGCTTTTACAGCTGACATTGAAAATGATTTTATAAGGCAAAATGAGAATACTTCTTTGCCATTAGATACAAATTGTATGACAACTGAAAATGGTTTACAGCAAGCAGAAGCATCTTCTTATCAACAGGAAGTAGTCAATAACATAGCTGATGCTAACATGTTGAACTCCTTAGAAGAACAAAATACTTGTTCTGAATCAAAATGTCATGAGGAAAATGTAATTTTAAGAGCTGCTGATTCCGCAACACCAGTGTCAGCTGGTGAAACTGAAAGTGGCAGCAGCAGTTCAAGTAAATGTAGTAATGAAGTCATACAAAACTCAAGTCAAAGGCTTACCTCATTGTCTCATAAAAACTTAACAAGAAAAAAGTGCTTTTTAGCTGGCATTGAAAACAATACTGGAAACATAGCAAGTACTTCGGAACAGCTACCTTTGTCTTCTAGAAATATGATGAGAAAAAAACAGTTTTTTAGCAGAGATTTACAATCTACTAGCGCAGAATCTCAATATGAACAAAATACGAGAGACCAGCATAACAATAATGAGGATAACACGTACAGTGATAATAGTCGGGGTTCCTGTATAAAAGATTACAGTTTACCTTTGGAAAGTCTAGCTTCGTGTAGTTCAGATGATTGTTCACAATTCCAGAGCACATTGACAAATGAAGCACATAGTAATGATATTGTAAATGCACATAAACCATTAAGTTTAACAGAGAACAACAATAAGAGTACAAGTGAAAATTTAAGTAGATTAAATGAACCTGGTAGTTCATTTTCTCATGTATCCAAAAGTGTGCCAAAAACTCAGAACAGTTTGGCCGACTTAGTACGTTGCAATGACATGATAAGGAAACCATTTAAACTGCCAATTTTAGAAAATTTACATGAAACTGCCAGTGCTCAACAATCTGAACTTGAAGAAAATGCTGTAGCACTTTTGGAACCACCTTCTATGAAACAAGTACGTTTAGAAGAAGCGCAAGGTATAGAAATAGAACCACATCGTTCTTCAAATAGTAGCGACGGGAGCAATTCTGATACTGAATCACAACAGGCAGTTCTAGGTCATAATGGGACCAAAAAGGTGCAACTTCTTTCAAGTTAAAGTTTGTAAAATATTAATTGTACATAACAATAAGCAGTTTTGCATGTCAATGATTTTTAAAAATGAAATAAGATGCGTTTATATTTTTTTTTTAATACAGTGTATATATTTTTGCTTATCTACGTATGCATGTAAATGTAATTTCAATTTCAATGCTTGAAACAGATTAATATTACACTCCGTCATTTTAACAAATGTAAAGAATAATTCTGAGACAATTGTGTTACCTTCTAAATTAATACTTATAAAAGAAATTTCTCTGTAGAGGTCATGTGATACAAATGGTGTTATAACAAAAGAAGGTGTGGAATATTATCAATTATGGCGGAGTACAGGGGGCTTCTCATCACCTGAACGTTTATATGAAACATTATACCCAAGTCCTCCACCACTTCCACCACGGTCAATGCACAAACTTTTACACAGAAGTAATGCTGGTCCACCAGAATTACCTAAACGATGTTCTCAAAAGTACCCAGCACCCTTGCACCCTGAAGATTGTTTTGGATTTGAAATAGTAGATGTCGATGAAGCTTCTAATTCAAAGGTAATATTAAATAATTTTTTTATTTTAGTCTCTTTATAATTATTAGTACCGTTAAGTGCTGGAAAGCTGGTACTTGTGACATAGGACAGCTCATCACACTCATGAGAATCATATACCAGAATCCGAATCTAAACAGTCAGACGAGAGTGCCAGCTAGCTAGCACTTCATGGTATTTCATAAATTGTTTAGTGATTGTTTAATATATTTCAGTCAAGGACAGCTGTTACGAAAAGTATAGCATTATTGAGTTTACCGAGAGCGCATAGACCGTTGGAACGTCCAGAAACCGGGCCAACGAATCAGTTGGAATGTCCTCCAACACCTACGCATCGCCCAAAGCTATTGCGTCCATTACCAATGTGCCAAAAATCAAGTGTACCATTACCCTCTGAAGAACCCTTACCTCCATGTAAAATAATGAAAATGTGTTTTTTTAATTATTTTATTAAAGTCATGTATTAAGTGTATCTTTGTTACAGGCTGGGAAGCAAGAATTGATAGCCATGGTCGAGTGTTCTACATAGATCACATTAATCGAACTACAACTTGGCAAAGGCCCAATTTAACAACACGAAATACAGGTTGTGATCTTCGGCGACAGCAATTGCACAGACGTTATCAGAGTGTTCGTCGAACCATCTCTCGACCTGACAATATTGATCGTGAGCCGACAAGTTCGCAACATGCAAACGGAAATAACTTTGAGAATTCCGAACGACCACCCGAACGATCTGAAAGAAACGAAACCGAAAGAAATGAACCATTCGACATCAACACGAGTCCTCCAGTATTATTCTTAACAAGGCCCGACTTCTTCACAGAATTACATACTAACGCCGAAGCATTAGAATTATATAATCGGAATGCCAGTCTAAAACATATGATTAATAGAATCAGACGAGACACAACAGTGTTCCCAAGATATGAGCATAACAGAGATTTGGTTGCTTTAATAAATTTCTTTGCTGATGCGAATAAGGCGCTTCCAAGAGGCTACGAATCAAAACTTGATAGGACAGGCAAAGTAAATATGTTTAGATTCAAATTATTTATTTTCTTAAACATATTCCTCGAAGATGGAATATTGTCTAAATATTTTTATTTCAGAAATTCTTCATCTGTCATGCCAGAAAAGCTACATCTTTCATTGATCCAAGATTGCCTACTGAAGCAGCGCATGCACGAACATTGTTAGATGAAGCACCTGTTCCACCTCCAAGGCCGCAGCAATCAGCTGTTACAACTACGCCCGACATACCTGTAGCTTATAATGATAAAGTGGTCGCTTTCTTACGTCAACCGAATATAATGGATATTTTGAAAGAAAGACACTCAGTACTAGGACAGAATATTGCATTGAGAGAGAAAGTAAATACTATACGAATCGAAGGAACTACTGCTTTACAACGATTAGGTCATGATGTACCTCTGGCACTGTTATTAAGGTACAAAATATCATTGTTAGAATGAAAAATGTTTGACTTTGTGAAATCCATAATGCTACTCTTTATTTTGAATAATAATAATTATGTACAGTTGATTAATATAATGAATTCATTATTACAGTTTATTCGAACAAGAAATTATGTCATATGTACCTGGGAATGTAGGCAGATCTCCACTAGGTAGTCCGCATGCTTCACCTGGCTTAACCAGAGCTTCTGCTAGAGCCCCAGCTCCATACAGAAGAGATTTTGAAGCTAAACTTAGAACATTTTACAGGAAGCTAGAAAGTAAAGGATATGGACAAGGTCCAGGAAAGTTAAAGTAAGTTTATATTAATATCTTAGCAAATTTTTACTTTTTCCACAGTTTTCATCCTATATTTAACAATCTTTTTCATTTATCAGATTGCATATTAGAAGAGAACATCTTTTGGAAGATGCTTTTACTCGTATCATGGCCGCTTCAAAAAAAGACCTTCAAAAAGGCAAGCTAGTAGTTATGTTCGATCATGAAGAAGGTCTGGACTATGGTGGACCGTCCCGCGAATTTTTCTTTCATCTGTCGCGTGAGCTTTTTAATCCTTACTATGGATTGTTCGAATATTCTGCCAATGACACTTACACCGTCCAAGTGTCGCCTATGTCAGCTTTCGTAGACAATTACCATGATTGGTTTAAATTTTCCGGTAGAGTTTTAGGTTTGGCTTTGGTTCATCAATATCTGCTTGATGCATTTTTCACGAGGCCTTTCTACAAAGCTCTTTTGAGAATACCAGCAAGCTTGAGCGACTTAGAAAGTCTGGATCAAGAATTTCACCAAAGTTTAATGTGGATCAAAGAGAAAGATATAAGTATAGAACCGTTGGAATTAACTTTTTCGGTGACAGAGGAATTGTTGGGACGAGTAGCCGAACGTGAATTAAAACCTGGAGGCAGAAATATTACTGTCACGGAGAAAAATAAAAAAGAATATCTTGAAAGAGTTGTACGCTGGAGACTTGAACGAGGTGTTGCGGAACAGACGGAATCATTGGTTCGTGGATTTTATGAAGTTGTAGATCCACGATTGGTATCGGTTTTTGATGCACGGGAGCTAGAATTGGTGATAGCGGGAGCGGCTGAAATTGATCTTAATGATTGGAGGACACATACAGAATATAGAAGTGGTTATCATGATGCCCACCCGGTGGTGGAATGGTTTTGGAGCAGTATAAGTCGATTTACAAATGAACAAAGATTAAGGTTACTACAGTTTGTTACTGGAACGTCAAGCATTCCATATGAAGGATTTGCAGCTCTTCGCGGATCTACTGGACCACGGAAATTTTGCATTGAAAAATGGGGAAGACCAAACAGTTTACCCAGGTATACAAGTTGTTGTCCTAGCATTTATTTATGTATTAGTAACGTTAATTATATTTTTTTTTACTTTCTTATGAATTATTTAATTATTCGGTTGACATTGTAGTATTTATTAGATAATACTATTTTTCAAATGAGATATATTTTTTAGAGCTCATACATGCTTTAATCGCTTGGATCTTCCACCATATCCTACACCTGAAATTTTATATGAGAAGCTTTTATTGGCCGTAGAAGAGACGAACACGTTTGGAATAGAATAAAGTAAATTATTTATCTCGATTACAGCAAATATATAATGATAAAGTAAGAACATTGTGCGTTGCATTGTTCAAATCGAATGAAGGATTCTTGTGGATATAAAACTGTATCAATGACGAATTCCATTATTCAGAAACTCGCAATTGGATTTCTAAGATTACTACAATCAAAACTGTATCAAAATGTAAATACCTAGAGGAAAAAAAAACAAACAGTTGCGCATATTTTGAAAATTTTAAATATTGTACACATATTGCTGTAATCTATTTATATTGAATCTGAACGATAATTCGCGCACTTTATGTCTTGTATAAAAGTAAGAGATTTAATACATTATTGCAAAATATTTCAATATGGATATATACAATTACATTTTCGTTAAAATTTCTATGTTTACTGAGCTTGCTGAAAGATCAATATACAGTGTGCCTGAGTAATCTAAGAAAAGTTAAATATCTCATAGGGGAAAAAAGTTACAAAAAAAATGCTCCTACAAAAATTTGTTTGGTTTAAAAATAGACATTGTATATTGTACAAGCCGTTAAAGGAATTTACGCAAGGTAGAAAACGAAGACTCATTTTAATCTGAATCCTTCAGTTTTTACTAGTACACTACTTTCTCCTAGATGAAAATATTTCTTACTGGGTCTCTTTGAATTCGTCTCAAATATGGTAATCATACTATAAATAAAAATTTAAAATATTTCATTTCATAATATTAAGTTGATTCAAAATATTTTTGTAGGAACAATTTTTCATATTTTTTTAATCCCTTACGACCTTTTATTTAACCAGTCTTAGATAATTTGGACATACAATAAATTTTCCCGTGGAAAAAACTCAATTTTAAATTAATACAAAACACGCGACATATTTAGCATAACTCACACAACATTTTTTTTTTCTTTACATTTTACAAAAGTATTCTAACAAATTTCTATGGAAAACGAAAAAGGGAACGATGCATTTTACGAAAATATATAGTGCAGCTATATTAGTAATTTATTCAGTGATCTATTTAGTTTATAGTTCCGATAATCATTTCTAGTCTGTATTTATAATACTGAATTTTGAACTCTTTTTCTAATATTTTAAGACATTCCATGTCAATTTACTTAATATTATTATAATTAAATTAAGAAATTGTACAAGGAAACAGAAAAAATGTTTATAACGTAAACAATTTTTACTGCACATTTTAAGATGTCTTTCTCGTAAGATATTATTATGTTCTACAAACATTTTTTCCGTTATCTGCATGTCATGTAATTTTACATTCGGACCGAATAAATGCTATTTAAATATTTGTAAAATGTCCAGAAAGAAACTGTCAATGAATACACAACGAAAGTATGAATAGCGAGTGAAAATATGTCAATGAAAGTAATAATAACGATAATAATTAAATTATTGTTCAAGTATTAATTTTGCATTTAGTATTAATGTAAACATTTTGCAGAATTATATTTGATGTGTAGAACATTCTTAAAAAATATTGTTTATACAATTCGTTAAATCAATTGTAATAACAGAAACATGGTAACAGAATATTATAATATTGTTACTTAAAAAAAATCTATGGACATTTAGATGCTTTTATGCTTGAAGAATTACTCTACCTCTACCAAACTTTAATCTTGCTTCTACAGCTTGGGAAATTTTCTTCTCTTAACTGTTTAGCCTTTCCTAATTCATAAAAAAATGCATGATATTTAAAATATTTGCTGATGTTTAACACTGTGAAGAAAATAATAAGGACGTCACTTTATTTAAATTAGCCAAATTACACGAAACTTATACTGGAAAATGACAAAATATATTAAATGGAAATATTTATCAAATGTTGAACAGAATTTGCATTAAATTATTGAATGTAAATAATTATTAGCAAATTCAATAGCTAAGTATAAAATATACCATATTGACAACATATAATTTTTATGTAATAAAGTTTCAATTTGTAATCTTTTTGATCTTTAATGACGGTAACGATAACTATATCGTTAAATTACAATAATAAACTTATTAAATAATAGTAGTCATAATTATACTATTTATTACATAGAAAAACTAATATTATGTGATTGTTGAAGATAAGTTGCACTTTATATTGTCTGTAAACTAGTCATGTAGCATAGCAAAATGGTAGAACTTAGTATATTCTATACATGTTACAGGCATGTTAATCCTAGATAACACAACATTTACAATGAATCATGACTGTGTGAGAACATTCTTTACTTTATTGTTAAAGAAAATAAAATGTGCCTCTTTTGTTATGTTACATTAAATATTGTTGTTTTTTACTTTTATTCGCTGAATTTCATTTACTGAATAATTTATTTTGTAATAATTATATCTTCTAAAACTGAAACGGATTTACTACTACGACCGAAATCCTTCGGAAAGTATAATTTAGTCATAGTATCTTATACAATTATCTAAGAATGTGTACTGAAAAACTTCCACAATTGTTCGTTCGTGCTTCATTATCAAAAAGTGGACATTACATAACAAATTAAGAAGTTACTTTTTTCTACATTATGTACATCGTGTTACATTATTTTTGTACATTTTTTCAAAAGATGACAAAACTAATATGATTATTCGTAATTTTGAAAATATGAAAATTGCACGTTGACTCTGAAATTCATACATAATCATTATAAGTAAGAAATTACGCTATTTTCTGTAAAGCTAAAATAATTATTAATAGCAAAAAATTACCAAAAAAATTTTAATCATGTGAAGAATGATATATAAATAAAGCTTCAGGTGTTGTGTAGAAGCTTGACCCTAAATTTAATATAAATTCAATTTTCTTCATTACTATTCAGCTGTTATGTTTATATCAATTTTATAATTAGATCTGTGTTTACTGTTCTTCATATATTATATATATATAAGAAGTTTATAAACTGTAAAGGAATTTGAGAACATTTAATTTATTGAAAAGTTTGTGACCAATTCCTAATGTCACAGTGTAAACAGGTGCATAGTACAAAATTTGTGGAATCAATAAATGTCGGATTGTAAAGGTCACAACGGAGAAAGAAAAACAAAAATAATGAAATACGACCAAAAAGGATCGTTCTTGAATCGAAAAAATGTAATCATACTTTGGAAAAGTTAAAACTTTTATAGAATAACTTCTATTGTAGTTATTATATGCAAAATTGAATGCAGCGACAATAAAATCTTTTCTTTTTCGATCTTATTAATCTGTGAAATTTTAATCATAGTCGAAATTATAAATTCGTAAGACCTTACACACGAGATAATTTTTTATACACGAACTGTTTTGTAATTTCTAGTACATAATTCATACACTTTTCAAGATTAAAAATGCATTGTAATAAACTTAAAAATGATTTCGCGTATAAGCATATTAGTATAACGTTATGCTGTAGTGTTATATCTATCCCTATTTACCAATTATTTTCCAAAATACTTTTTCAAAATACTATCAAACATATTTCTACGAAGTAAATTTAAGATTTGAGAGAAGATATAAGTACATGAAAATACAAAGCAGTTCAGTATTGCACTTTAATACAACTTTTGAATTCTTTGACATTATTTAAGTTCTATTAAAAAAAAATCAATAATCACAATTTTCCATAATATATTCATAATATCTAATGAATGAGTAGAATTATTATGATCATATTCGTTAGTAATTTTCTCAATGTTCTTTTAGTTTTGTCTGTTTCTCAAATGTATATATCAACATGTGCAGTAGAAATATCCAGTACACTGTATAATGCTTAATGTTTCTTGTGTATCTCCTGTTTATATTGTCATGTACATGTAAGGTGACTAGAAATTTCTATGATTGATTGTTAGGTTAAAACAATGGTAAATGATAATAAAGAGCCATTCCTGTTAAGAAAACATACTTATACATAATTTACGTGACAAAGAAATTTCTACTCTGACACGTTTTGCTGTGTAATCAAGTATGGTAAAAATCAAAGACCTCGGTAGTTTATAGTGGATTTTACTACAAATTACAAATATTGTATAAATTTCGAACTTTGAGCATATTAAATTAATAAAAATAAGGGCATAAAATTACAAGGAAGCGCGGGTTTCTTTTAATAAATAGATGTGAATAGCCCTCTAGCAGCAAGATGAAAAATTAATTTTTAGCAGCATTTATTTCCGAGCACAACGATATCGATTGTTATTTTACTTTATCAAAATGAACTCGTACAAAGTTCTCTACAGGAAAATCACTTGTCATTATATTATTTTATTAATAATTGACAAGAGCATGCATAACCAATATACTTAGGAGCGTAAGTTTAAATAAACACGTTTGAGCCTAGAATTTCGATCTAATCACAAAACACCGGTACTTTACTAAACCTCTTGCTTCGTAACCGGAACAAATGTAGAAATACGGAAAGATATTTATATCTAAGATAATCATCTGTTGTGATTACTTTATCGGTACTCATTATCATACTTCCATTATTTTATTATGGAAAGGGTTATGATCATTAAAAACCTTCAGGGTCTTTATACAAAACATTAAGAGAATCGTTTAAAGACGGTTGAATTCAGAATATTTTCTTTATTATAACGGTTAAAGCAGTATTTTTTTATCCTTAATTTATACGCTCGAATTTATGAAATTTTTATCACAACAATTATATATTATATAGACTTACACTATTCGAACATGAAGAAATTGTAATAAGCAATGTTACGTAACATCGCTTATCATTACAAAATAGGTATTAGTTTTGGGAGAAGGCGTTCGATGACGTACTTTTTACGAAAAAGGTAATTCACAAGAAAGTAGAATAAGGAACGACGCCCACGCGTATTACAGCCCTGACAACGTATGATATCCGCCGACAATGGTGTATCGAGTGCGCAAGCAGGCGAATCAAGACGAGCACGGTAGGGCAGCGGCGCGCGCGCGCGCACGTTTACTTGGTTGCGTTTGCGTTGAACTTTGCCTAGACTCTCTCATCGATTGCTTTTTAGAAAACCAAGTATAATCAAATACCTCTTCCAGGACACATAGTCAGTACAGTTGTAATGTATTAGAAAGTAAAACCACCGCGTGCGATCCATCGTTGATGTTCCTTGTCCGATCTGCGCGCAAGTACGGTCGCTGATTCTCACCTTTGCACACGCAAATCAGTCGAGCCGCAAAATCATCGAATAACGGCAGCCATCTTTGCTCCTCTGAAAACGGGCTGTGGTTTGTGACAGAGAGACAGTAGTGGTTCTTCATGCGGTTCACGCGACCATCCTGTCGCCTATGTACTCTACGAAAGATTGGGAATCGTTCTTAAGTGCGGCTAATTAGAAGAACCAAGGAACTCGTGTCACGAATCCGGGCTACCGAAATATGACAATGGAGACGCCAAGGGAGCGCGAGATTGCCGCGGAGGACAGTATTAAGGTAGTCTGCAGGTTTCGACCTTTGAACGACTCCGAGGAAAAGGCTGGCTCTAAGTTTATTGTGAAATTCCCTTCCGGCGGCGAAGAAAATTGCATCTCCATCGGGGTACGTTTCATACACGTCATACTCTTTTTTAGTTATCATGCTCGTTAACCAACCGTCCAGCTTACGTGTGATGTCACCGTGCACAGCTGACAGCTGCTGTTGGTCATCCTATCCGTGGTGCGGTGCCTACGGGCCGCATGTCATACTCTTAATGTCGATTAATCGTTTTTTCGTATACTTCCCGATGATTCATATTTGTTGTTTGCGGCGAAATCGATTTCGTTCTAACTCCGTTGTTTCTCGTTCCCGCAAACGATCTTCTCGCCTTAATGCAACGCTATTTGCACTCGTTAATTGAAACTTCATTTCAAAATGGGTACACACCCGAACACTAACAACGATACTACCTCTTTTCGAATCGTGGGAGGGAAACGATTGTTTTCTTAATAGAGCTGTTTCGTCTTCAAGTAACCGTTAATTTCACGAACTTTTGAATGTTCGAATGTAACTGTTTTGTGAAATGGATGTTTCATTAATGTCTCGTTCATTAAGTTTTAATATGATCAATAAGCTTGCTAAAATTAGAATTCCAAATTTTTTTTTGCTACCTTATATTCCTGACTTCATAGTTTGCTACTATGTTTTTAAGGAGAAGCTGGTACATAAATGTGTATGTCTCATTAAGCTCAGTTGTATTGTATTTTTTTAACACTTGAAAAGTGAATTAGTCTGTGCTATGCGAGAAAACATAGATAAACCTCAAAGAGATTATCATCAAATGATTTATTCGATGGTTGTATGTAGAAAAAAAAATTGTTATTAAATGTATTTTTATATGGATTTTGTTTTGTGAGTATATTGTTTCGCACATAAGCTTTTTCATCTTCTTTGATGCTTAGAAAATATATTGCCATTGTATCAAGAGGCTCATGAAACAAAGCTTTATTGAATGCAATTGTTCCCCCTTTCCCATGTTCTTCAGCATACATGAAAGAGGTATAAAAGTATATATATGATCCTTGCGGAAATCAAACAATCTTTCATACTTTCTGAACATTTTCAGATTTAATATTTTTAAAGAATTTAAATAACAAAAGAAGTTTAATAACTTAACAAAAAGAATATTTATCAATTTTCTCTATTTTTTGTGTAATAGTAGCTTTTGTGCAATTCATATTTGATTTTAATTAATGAAACTTTTTTAACATATATAGGGTGTCGTAAAAAAATGTTACCACACTTCAATTATTTATAAAGTATTTATTAAATATTGTACAATTTGCTTTCAATGTTAAAATAATTAAAGTGTGGTAACATTTTTTTGCAACACCCTCTATTTTATTTGTATTTGTATATAGGCAAATCTTTTTACATTTGTATATAGACAAATCTTTTTACATTTGTATATAGACAAATCTTTTTACATGGTTACATCCAATTGTTAATATTATATTTTTTTACATGTTTTGTAATATAATGTTGTAACATTATTTCAGGGAAAAGTATATCTTTTTGACAAAGTATTTAAGCCAAATGCTACTCAAGACAAAGTATACAATGAAGCAGCTAAATCAATTGTCACAGACGTGTTGGCAGGATACAATGGCACTATTTTCGCATATGGTCAAACATCTTCAGGTAAGTAGTAATTTGTAATTAATATAAAGATAGTAACCAATTATGCTTGTTAATCTTAAAAGTAAAAGTAGGTTTTTTTGCCAAGAAGTCTTTCAGAAAATGTTGAAATAAATAATCAATTAAAAGTTGCTACTGTGTTATCTAAATTATCTATTCTATATTTGAATAGGAAAAACGCACACAATGGAAGGTGTTATTGGAGATTCAAATAAACAGGGTATTATTCCCAGAATTGTTAACGACATTTTCAATCATATTTATGGTATGGAAGAAAATTTGGAGTTTCACATTAAAATATCATATTTTGAAATCTATATGGATAAAATAAGAGATCTACTGGATGGTAAGAGTCCCACTATTACAATTTGTATACTTACTGATTCAAATATTTACAATTTGATTTCTTCTTTCCTTGTCATTTCCATTCTGCTTACCATTTCTGCTTTTGCTTTCTCAGTGTCAAAAGTGAATTTAAGTGTACACGAAGACAAAAATCGAGTTCCATTTGTGAAGGGCGCAACAGAGCGTTTTGTATCTAGTCCTGAAGAAGTGTTTGAAGTTATAGAGGAAGGAAAGTCAAATAGGCATATTGCTGTTACCAATATGAATGAACACAGTTCACGTTCTCATTCTGTGTTCTTAATAAATGTTAAACAAGAAAATTTAGAAAATCAAAAAAAGCTATCAGGAAAATTGTATCTTGTTGATTTGGCTGGTTCAGAAAAGGTTGGTTGTACATCAATTTTTTTATGTAGTTCCTTTTTTCACATTGCATGCAAATAATATATTTACATTATCTTAGGTTTCTAAAACTGGAGCAGAAGGCACTGTGCTCGATGAAGCGAAAAATATTAATAAATCACTATCAGCGCTTGGCAACGTAATTTCAGCTTTAGCAGATGGAAACAAAACTCACATTCCTTATCGTGATTCAAAGTTAACTCGAATTTTGCAAGAATCTCTGGGTGGCAATGCTAGAACTACAATTATTATTTGTTGCTCACCAGCTAGCTTCAATGAATCCGAAACAAAATCGACTTTAGATTTCGGTAATATTATTCATTAATCTATATAGTACATTATTTAGAAATGAAACATTCAAACATCTTATTCATGGACAGTGCAAAATAATTAAATCTTTATTTTATATATCTGTTTAGGTAAACGTGCTAAGACTATTAAGAATGTTGTATGTGTCAACGAGGAATTGACAGCTGAAGAATGGAAACGTCGCTATGAGAGAGAAAAAGAAAAGGCAGCTAGATTGAAAGGAAAAGTTGAGAAGTTGGAGGCCGAATTATCACGGTGGCGCCAAGGTGAAACAGTTAAACCTGAAGAACAAGTTAGCTTGGTTGAAGGACCAGATGTTACAACTCCAATTAATATGTCTATTGAAGGTAATTCTACAATATTAGCTATGAAGATAAGTATGTACCAGTTTGCACTTAAAATTGTAATATCTTCTAGGTAAACTTGACGATGGTCCAATGCCAGCCACACCTGGTGGCATCTTAATGGCTGGTTCCTTGTCTAACGAAGAGAGACAAAAACTGGAAGAGGAACGTGAAAGACTCTTCCAGCAATTGGATGATAAGGACGAGGAGATTAACCAACAGTCACAGTATGTTGAGAAACTGAAAGAACAAATGGAAGAGCAAGAAGAATTAATTGCGAGCGCAAGACGAGATTATGAACAACTTCAACAAGAGATGAATAGAATACAACAAGAAAATGAAAGTGCTAAGGAAGAAGTTAAAGAAGTTCTGCAAGCCCTTGAAGAACTGGCTGTTAATTACGATCAGAAATCTCAAGAAGTATTTTCACTATACTAAATAGTATATTGTTTGGTGAATAGTTTGACAATAGTTTTACACTTTTATATTTCCAGGTTGACCAGAAAAACAAAGAACAAGAAGCTTTAGCAGAGGACTTATTAGCGAAACAAACCGAATTGAACACTACAAGTTCAGAATTGCAACAGTTGCGAGATATGTCCGCTCATCAGAGGAAACGTATTGCAGAAATGTTGGCGAATTTCCTAAAGGATTTAGGCGAGATGGGAGTTGCTATTGGCGACGAAAACTTGAAGGTAAATGATTCGTTTAAATGTTTAAGATGCGAATCTGGAGATATAAGGAAAATATGTGATATTTCGTAGGTTGTGCCGGAAAGTAATGGTAAACTCGAAGAGGAATTTACAGTGGCAAGACTTTTCATTAGCAAAATGAAATCAGAGGTGAAGAATTTAGTACAACGTTGCCAAGGATTAGAAAGTTTCCAAGTAGACTGTAACAAGAAAGTAAGCGTTCGGTTTCGTAGTCTTTCAATTCATTATAGTTGATTTGTATAATACTAAATAATGTTTATTGATTTATGTTTCAGGTTGCTGAATATGAAAAGGATTTGGCTGAATGTCGTTTATTAATTTCGCAACACGAAGCTCGTATGCAATTTTTAACAGAATCGATGAAAGTGGCAGAAACTCGTAAACGTGCTTTAGAAGAAGACGTTGATGCTTTGCGTGAAGAGTGCGCCAAGCTGAAAGCTGCAGAACAAATGCAAGCAGTTACGAATAAAGAAAAGGCGGAAGAAAAAGAAGCAGCGACAAAGATGAGGGTAGCACTAGAACAACAAATGGATCAATTGCGAGATGCTCACCAGAAACAGGTAAGTAAAAACTATAGTTATATTCAGATATATGACTATTTACTTCGAATAACATAATATTACAATTAATATTGATTCTTGGTACAGGTTGCTGCTCTTAGGGATGAACTCTCCGAAAAGCAAGATCTAGTTAGCGAGCTTAAAGATTTGAATCAGAAGTTCACGTTGGCACATCAACAAATGCAAGCCGATTATGAACGATTGAAACAGGAAGAAGCGAATAAATCAGTGAAATTGCAAGAACTAATCCTGCTTAACGAACGTCGAGAACAAGTGCGTATAAATTGGATTATTAGTATGCCGATACAGTTTAGAAAGTAAATTATCACATGCTTATCGGATTGCAGGCCCGAAAAGATCTCAAGAGTCTGGAGGAAACAGTAGCCAAAGAACTTCAAACGTTGCACAATTTGCGCAAATTATTCGTTCAGGACTTACAGACGAGAATAAAGAAGACTATGAACTCGGAAGATAACGATGACGCTGTTGGTGCACTTACTCAGAAGCAGAAAATTTCCTTCCTCGAGAATAATTTGGAACAACTAACGAAGGTATGCGTTACAAACACTTCCAAGAAGTTAAAAAAAATGAAATATAAATTAATAAGAAATTCGTGTTTCTGATAGGTACACAAACAACTCGTGAGGGACAACGCAGATTTACGCTGCGAATTACCGAAACTTGAGAAAAGACTGCGGAGCACAATGGAGCGCGTAAAAGCCCTTGAAACGGCACTGCGAGACGCCAAAGAGGGTGCAATGCGAGACCGCAAACGCTACCAATTCGAGGTAGATAGAATCAAGGAAGCTGTGAGACAGAAGAGTTTGGCCCGTCGCGGACCTAGCGCACAGATCGCTAAACCAATTAGAGCTGGTCAACACCATTTAACCAACCTTAACGTTATTAGAACAGGAAATCGTGG